CCCAGTGATGACCAGCAAGCCTCAGCAAGAAGGGCCCCAGGTTCCTGAGCTGGGGGGGGGGGGGGGTGAGGGCTATTGCCACACCCCCTTGACATCTGCACCCAGCCCGGGCAATGACCAAGCCATCACTGGAAGCCCCCTGGTCTCCCCTGTGGGAATGTGGGGGGTGCCACAGGCCTCAATCCCACCCCTTCCTGCTTTCTCCTTCTTCCATCCCATTTCTTTCCCTTTTCCCCTCTCCCTCTCCCTCCCAACTGCTCTGCAACAACATCAAAGAACGTAAAAAAATATATATAAACTAAAAATAAATAAATAAATAGTGAGTCTGCTTCTTGTGTTTGGTCTCTTTTCACAGGCACCTGGATTCCCTTCCATTTCTGTCATGTTGTGAAGTAGCCTGAGGCCCTCACCAGAAGCTGCCAGATGCAGCTGTCCATTCTTGAACTCTCCAGCCTGCAGAACTATGAGCTAAATAAACCTCCTTTCTTAAAATTACCCAGTCTTTGGTATTTTGTTATAGCAACACAACCAGACTAAGACAGTCATCTATATTTTATAGCACAGTGTTAACTTTTTTTTCTGAAAACACAAAATCATTATATAACTGCTTTTGTACCACTCTAATAGTTTTGTTATCAAACATACCACTAATAAGAAATCAAACTTATGTAAGCTTCATGGGACAGGAATTACCACTAAGTATTCATTTCAAGTGTGATAAAAAAAAGTTCATAAATTTAGTAATCAACTAACTACTATAGTAAAAAGAAAAACAAATAGGTTACAGAATCTTTGTGATTGTTCTTTTTCAAGGAAAATTTCCTCTTGTTCATCATTTTCTTAGCCTTACCTGAATAAGAGCACTAACATTGAGTATTGGTGTCAGCCACCATTTTGACACTCTACCTGAATTATAATGTCACCTGAGACATGCCTACGTGGGCTATAAGAATCCAACTTTATGAGGAGTTTCATAAAGTCTGGCTTAGGAAGCATTTGCATTTATGGAGCCCCACATGGACTACTCGGGCTTGAGGATCATCAAAGCTCCACCTGCACAAACGTGTAGATCACAGGCATTGCTTCTCTTCTCGGATTCCTTGTAGTTTACTAGTTTTCATTGTAGCTTTATGACTTCCATGATGGCAATTTGCTGAGTAACTACAATGTTTGAATAGTTTTCATTGATATTTTTTTTTCATTAAAGGTTTGACTACATAAATATTGAGTATCATATGTATGTTGCTCATAAGTCCTTGTCTTGAGTGTACACTGCTACAAGAGCTTAGGTAAATAGCCACATTATAGATTATGAAAAGAAATAGCCATATTATAGGTTACCATAGGTTGCATTGTAACACTAATGTTAACTATTGAAGCAATTGTAGTCATTTTAAAGAGATTTGGCATTGTTTTAGCAAAATGTCTGTCAGTTTTGGAGTTTAGTTTGGAACATAACACATTTTTTCCTACGTACAGAAATTAATGGTAACTATGGTTTTGACTAAGATGAAGTTAACCTATGAAGTTTTTTCCATAAAAGAATTATCCTTTAAGATGGAGGATCATTTAATCCTCACAACATCCCTAAAAGGTAGCTACTCTTTACTGTCAAATATATATTTAGCAATTACTATGTCCAGATACTGTATGTATAACATTAACAAAAACAGTCCTTTCAACAACTCTGTGTGGACTCTGTTGTCATCATCGTATATAGAAAATACTCAAAGGCTGCTTGCTATCATTATTATACTAAAGTTAGTAGTGAGGAAACCGATGCATAGGGTGATTAAGTAGTTTGGCTAATCTGGAATTAAATACTAGCCTGTTTTGCAGAACAAAGAACTGTTGTAAGTGACTGTGTAATATTTATAACAACACCTACAATTTTGAATGCTAAGCACTTTACATATAATTTCTCATTTAATTCTCCCAACAACCCTGTAAAGTAGCCATTACTACCCTAAATTTACAGTTAAGGAAATTGGTGCATAAAGAGGAGAAATAACTTGCCTGAAATCATATGGCTGATTAGTAATAGTCTTCTTTTTTCTACCTTCTTTATAATGCAGTGTGTGTGATCCACTGCTAATTACATTGTACCACAAATAACAGGTTTGTTAATTCCCTCTAACAGCTTACTAAGGGAAATTATGAAATTCCTCTCTGAAAGTTTCTAAAAACCAGTTCATCTGATAGGGTAGTTTAATGATGGTCCTCTCTGAAATTAAGGGAATCGACTTAGGATAACCTTTCAGTTTCTCCTAACCCTCATGTGTGATATAGGTATGCCAATACCACAAATCTTCCCTAAAAATGTAAAGGAATGTTTGTTAAAAAAATACTTAAGAATTTGATTCCAGATAGGAACCAGTAGGGTAAATAAGAATGCAAGCTGACAGCCTGTGTAAAATATTCAAAAGAGTTCTCTATAGAGAATGTTTGAAACTTCTAGGAAGACATTTTGTGCACGGAGAAATTTTATAGTTAAAAATCATTTTACTCAAATGTAGTTATAACTACCATCAAATACTATAAAATGTTTTCAAAGAGTTAACTAGAACAGATGCTTTAAAGACAATCACAGAATATCACAAGAGCATGATGATAGCAATAAGACCATGGGAGAAAAGGTTTATACAGCTTCAGGTATCCTTAATTTTAATGTAATAATGATAACAAGCAACCTTTGAGTATTTCCTACACACCACCACAATGGCTAAGTGATTCTCCTGAGTTATCTCATTTAATCCTCACTAATCCTATAAAGTTATGTGCCAGTTCCATTGCCCGAGGGAGGAAACTGAAGCTTAGAGGGGTTAGGTTACTTGTCCAAGCTTACACAGCTAATAAGTGATTGATCTGTTTTAAAGTTTAAATACATACAGTCCAACTTCAGAATCCAAACACTCAATCACTGTGCCATGCTTCCTCCATAGGATAAAACTTGTTTTTCGCCATCAAGAAAAAAGTAGGTTTTTAAAATGCCAATATGAAGTAAAATGGCCAAAGAAGAAGAAAAGCAAAAGCCTTTGATAATGTTCCAACTGAATAATCCTTGAATCATTCTAACCTCACTTGGGTCTTCTCGGGGTTTACGCCAGCTCCTGGGATTAACGGACCTACAGCACTTGTTGCTGATTTCCCCAGTTCCCTTTTGGCTCTCCTGCCTATCACAAGTCCAGACAAGTAGACTTTAAACTTTGCTCTCCCCGTTCCATCATTGTAGCTGTTTTGTTGCTCGTGTACACTACCACTTCAGGAATTCCTAGAATAGTATGGTACACTAAATGCCAGTCATAATTTTCAGCTCTTAGAAACCTACTGTTTATTGTTCTGGTCTCAAGAAAGACTCCAAAAATGTGATCATTACTACGTATAGTTTCTCTGGAATCTCGGAGAATATAGAACCAAAGCAAGCATTTTAAGGTGTATGATCTTTTCTGTCCTCTTTAGTTTTCTCTGCTTCTGAATGATGAGAAGAAACTATCCCACAGGCCACCATGCCAGAGTATAAACATAGGAAAAAATGGGAATCAGTCACATGTAACAGGTGATGTCTGACTGCCCAACACTTGCCATCCCTATCTAATTTCCTTCAAGTTTTCACGCATTGTTCACAAGGAAGCCAACAGCACTGTAAAAGAATTACTGAAGATATATCCACACGAGTGATTTTTTAATATCAAAATACTTTATGAAACAACATATAAAATTATCGCATAGGATAAATTTTATTAGTCTCTGCTTTTACTTTTAAAAGCTTTCAACAATAAATCTCCTGCTAGTCCTGGGGACAGGGCCCCACTGAGAACCTTAGTTTCCAGAAGAGGAATCTGTTCCCGGACTGTGGGATGGGTCTTGAAGTGTTCTAACACACTTTCCTGAATGAGATTCCACATCCAAACTTTCTGCTGCCTCCGTCGTTTGGCAGTCAGCTCCCCACTGGTAAGCATGAGGCCTTGGAATTCTTTCATTTTATCCCACATCTCAGTGATCCCTTCTCCACTTCTGGCAGAAATACGAACTACCTATTGAAAAGGGAAGAATCGGAATGTTTTACTTAAAATGATAGAACACATTTTCATGGGGACTCTGATATTTGCCAGTTAATTTTTACAGTCTATGGAAATAGTCAAGTGACAAAAAGGAGGTATTTTATCCTGTGTCCAAGTAAATATATGAGAACTATACTAAGGTAAGATACATAGGATTATTAAGTGAACAGCAGAAATAAGACACTGATTCAAGGTTGAATTTTTTAGCCCGGAGACTTATTTTAACTCAGGAGTGCTCAGATGGAAGGGGCATCACAGAGGACTGTGAGAGTCAGGATGAGAATGGCAGGTTAGTCTAAGGCCTGAGTGCCAGAAAATGAAGCTAAGCTGGGAAACAGCCCTATTCCCTCTTCAAATTTGCCTGACTCAGCAAGTGGGAGAGCTGAGCACCCAGCGGCTGCATGTATAAAGTGGCTCCAGACTCAACCCAGAGATTGCGATTGGGGAAAACTGGGAGTGGATAGTAAGATAAGTCATCATTGTTCTCATTATAATGATTACAGCTTATTCTTTAACAACAGTGTCCTCCTTCCTCTTGTAGATAAAGATGCCCAGATCAATATTATTGCATCACTTATTATAGGATTTCTTGTTAGTTTTCTTCTTTATTGAAAACAGCACCCAACAAGCAAAATGGGAATGGAAGTATCACATCTCAAGCCTTTTTTCTCTTACTCAAATTTGAATATAGATAATCAAATCATTATTTGTTCCATAATCTTAAGAATGGTTCCTTTAAGAAGGTATTTGGTAACATTTTCAAATGGCTCAAATCAAGCATTAAACAATCTAATCACCTGAAATATAGTTTTTGTCAGCTAGCGGTTGATGGATTATATTTAAAATCACAACTACACCCTCTGGTTTTGTCATAATTATTAAAACTATAATCTTCACATACAAGCAAAGATTGATTATATGTCTAGCTTGGGACTTACATCCTCTCTTCTAATGTACATAGTCTACTCCGGGTGAAAAATGTAAAATGAAATGCAAGCTAACCTTTGGTTTCCAGACCTCCGAACGCTTGCGGAGTAATTTCAGTGCACTCACATACTCTGCTTGTATCCTTCGAGCTGGCACAATCAAGTCTCCATCAGATTTAGTTACAGCTACCAGATCTGCCATCTCAATTATACCCCTTTTGATACCCTAAAGAGAAAAAGGGAAGAAACTGATTTATCAGAAACATTTAATTTAATAACAACCAGCCTAAAAATGGGACAGTCAACGCTAAGATTTTGAAAGTCATATAGTTCATTAACTAACTTTTTCTCTTCATCTTCCTAAACCCTGGGTACCAGGAATCACAATTATTTGACAGAAATTACTCAAAAGCACTGGCTCTTACAATTATTGAATTCATCTGTAATATCACTTCTAAATTTGGAGACTACATATTGAAATACATTCAGAATCAGAGTAAATATATCAAGACACAAGATGATTGAGTGGCAGGAGACAGTCCACATTGTCTCATGATGGATTCTGCTTTTCATGAGCTAACACTGCAGGATGCAGAACCACCCATCATTAAGGTGCTTAAAAAGAAAACACACACATCATTAACATTTGCATTTCCAGAAATGAAGTCTTTGAATTTTTTCTTAAATGTCTATAGCATTTTTTTTTCCAACTTGCATTTGAGGAAAAATAACCTGATGGCTAAAAATGCCTCAATCTCTTGATTTAAATTGTGTTGCGTAAAAACATTAAAAATAAAGGATAAAATCCAAAGGCCAAACCTTATTTGGGAAATACAAATTTTTCCATCTAAGTTTTAAATTTTTTTCAAATATTTCTAAACATAACATTCAATTATTAAATTCTAATAGTTAATGTTTCTTTCTTTTTTTTTTTTTTTTTAAAAAGATGACCGGTAAGGGGATCTTAACCCTTGACTTGGTGTTGTGAGCACCATGCCCACCCAGTGAGCAACCGGCCATCCCTATATGGGATCCGAACCCGTGGCCTTGGTGTTATCAGCACCGCACTCTCCCGAGTGAGCCACAGGCCGGCCCCTAATAGTTAATGTTTCTAAATCACAGCATTCATAGTTGGCTATGACTATTATTTAGAATTATAAAATTGAAAGGGAAGTGTTATATAATAAAGAACTCACCCTGTCTTTGTCCAGGTTCCTAGGAAGTAACCTCTAAATTTTTGGAATTTCCTGAGTGATAGGAGTGTCTTTGTTATTCATTGCAGGTGTCTGGGACCGTACCTGAGTTCATGCAACAAGATCACTCAGGAATGGGGGGGCCTGACCATGCCAGAAAGACCTAGAATGTGTTTAGAGGATTGGGGCTTTGTGCCCCGCGATTCAACCCAACTTCTGGGAAGGGGAGATTGAGCTCAATTATATGACCAATGATTTGATTGATCATGCCTATGATGAAGGAAATAATCAAAATGAAGCAGGTTTTCCAAAACTCACTGCCTCAGGATAAGTTTCATGAACTTGATACAGACATCTTGTTCTTAAGATAAACAATACATATGGTTAGAACTGCTGATTTATTAATGTGTAACCTGCTGGTTCTGAATAAGCCATTTAGATATTGTTAAGAATAGCTGAAGCATGAAATTTCTGTTTCAGGTTGCACATAGACATTTTTGGTTCTCATGGTGTTATCAGTAGTCAATGATTGTGATCTTTGCGCTCTGTGAGAAAGGACAACTGTACTTGGAAAATTCCCCCTCTCTTTTGAAACCCCCTTATACAAACCTTTGCTTGTGGTAGACTTCAGAGCACCTTTCAACTCTGTAGGCTTGTGATTCTCAGGTTGATCCTCAAGCTCAGCTTTGAATAAACCCTTATAAAATTATTTTTGCCTAGGGGCTTCTGGTCAAGATGGCAGAAGAGACGGTCCCCACTGTTACTCTCTCCCACAAATCAAACACTTACAACTATGAAAAAACGACGACAGCCAAGCTGGGGCTGCTAGAGCTCAGGGGAAGAGGAGGAGAGACCTACGGAGTGAATGAAAGTGGGTAAAGCCATGATGAGAGAAAGAAGAAACTTCTCTAATTGTTTTGAGCCCAGGCCACTTCCAGGCTAGCCCTGGTGAGCACATGGAGCAGGAGCCGGCAAAAGCCACAGCTGTGCTCTTTGGATGAAGTTGCTTGGAGGCGGCAGGGGAGAAGAGGGCCTTGGTGGCCACCAGGGCAACAGTACCACCAACAGGGTTCCCGTGGACCCACATAGGAGCGGGGAGCCACGACAACTGAAGAAAAGGAGCCACTCAGAGGCCAGTGAGTCATGGCAAGGGACCGGCGCATGGGCCACCCCATGGAAGTGTTTGCAGCATGGGCAGTGGGGAAGACGAGCCCACCAGGAGAACATTGGAGCACAGCAAGGACAGCTGATTGGCACCCTAATCAGTGAAGGACCACTCAGAGGAGACTGGTCAGGAATATAGAATTGCATGGTGCACAGTTTGATGGAAAGACTCAGGCCCAGACCAGAGTTCCTACACAACCCAGGTGCTCCGGATTTCTCTAGACCCAGAAGTATCTATAAAGTCAACTATTAAAACCCGAGCTGCACAAAAAGCCTTCCCTAGGGAATCAGCAGCAAAGCAGAAATTTAGCCCAACCACAGAGTTCAAGTGCTGGTCCCCACAGGAAGTTCTCCCATTTTAGAAGTAAGCAAAAGACAACAAATTAGTTCCAGCACAGAGTTTAAGTTGTGGGAACAGCAAACAATTCAACACAGAACCGAAGGAAAAAAACAAAGTACCCACAACCAGAGACAAAGTTTGATATTAACTAGTAAAGGTCTCATTTCACCAAAGAACACCTATAACATCTAGAAGCACCGGAAGTCCCATGGGCTACCAAGCCAGAAAAGGGGGAGGGCTGTGGGCCTCAGCCATTCCCCCTGACACCTGCAGCCAGCCCAGCTGCGACCACCAAGCTGCCATAGGAAGTGCCCCTGGCTCTCCTGAACCAGGGTGGTGAGGGGCTGAGGGCCTTGGCCATGCCCCACCAACACACACAACCAGCCCAGAGATGACCACCAAGCTGCAGCAAGAAGGGTCCTGGGTTCCCAAGCTGGGGTGGTGGGCAGCAAGGCCTTTTTGCCACACTCCATCTGCACCCAGCCCAGCAATGACCAAGCCACCACTTGAAGCCCCCCAGTCTCCCCTGTGGGAATGAAGGGGGGTGCCACAGGCCTCAATCTCATCCCTCCTCCTTCCTCCTTCTTGCATCACATTTCCTTCCCCTTTCCCCTCTCTCCATCCCTCCCAGCTGCTCCACAACATCATAGAATGTAATAAAATAATATTAATAAAATTAAAAAAAAATTCAACATAGGCTTTTTTATTGAGCAGATAAGCTAGAAACAAAAGTATTTCCTGTGTACCTGTGTGCCCACCAGAGACCAAGATACTTTCAAATACACTATGTTAATTTCGACAACTGTATGAGGTGGTATTAATCTTCTCATTTTAAAGCTGGTGAAGCCAAAGCTCAGAATGTAGTTAGATTGTTAAAGATCTTAGGAATAAGTGGTAGAGTCAGAATGTAACCTGGGCTGGCCCGTGGCTCACTCGGGAGAGTGTGGTGCTGATAACACCAAGGCCAGGGGTTCAGATCCCATATAGGGATGGCCGGTTGACTCACTGGCTGAGCACGGTGCTGATAACACCAAATCAAGGGTTAAGATCCCCTTACCGGTCATCTTTTTTAAAAAAAAAAAAAACAAAAGAATGTAACCTAGGTGTACCTGACCTCAAAGCCTGATCTTATTTTTACCTTACCACATTGTCACAGACTTTAAGTTCAAACCATTTTTGAACTGTCTTTATCTTTCAGTTCTACCATTAATAAGCATTAGTGAATAGTATCATTTTCAAAGAATGTATAAGGCTTTTTAAAAAGCAGGAACTCAAGCTCAAATAACATCTATATATACTCATATGCTAATCAAGATCCAGGATCTTACTTAAGTAAGTAGTATCCTAAGATGTGACTATGAACAAAACTCTTTCATGAATTTTCTAATTTGTCTTCCCTATTTGAAGACATTACTTTCTCTGTTACTGATGTATACATATCCACCTTAATGATGGGGGGGAAAGAAATATCTCTTCCTCATCCATCACTAGATTCATGGTTCAAGCCCCTATAATAAAAGACAGATTAGTAAGAGAAAAGTATACTTATTTAATGTAAGTTTATTTACTTATTTAATATAAGTTTTATGTGACGTGGGAGAATTCATAAGGAAGGGAAAACTCAAAGAAACAAGAACACTTGTTTATTTTTATGCTGAGGTTTGAAGAAGAGCAGACAGTTGTGAAGAAATATCATTGGAAGACAGAAGAGAATAACCTAATGGTAATAAACTGGGGGGAACTTAGCAGGCCTGTTTGCTCAGATTCTTTCTGTGTCCCTGTGTCTTCAGAGATAAGGATGTTTCTTTTTTCCAGGGATAGAAAGGGCATCTCTCAAATGAGGGTCTTATGATTGCCTCTGAGGAGAAGGGCAAGGGGAAGGTGAAAGTGACTTTCCTGTTTCTGCTGTTTTTTCAGATTCCTTCAGTTTAAACTATTCAGTATTCCAAGGTGCCATATTTTGGAATAGTGTGTCCTGAATCCCATCAATGTGTTTTTAAGTATTTCACCTATGGACATATTATGTGTGTTCTTTATCGTATTTAAAAGTGCTTTTCTAACCTAGGAGCTATATTTTGTATCCTACTACATTTTATAAATGATCAAATGACCAAAAAAAAAACAAAATCAAAAAAAAATTTCTGCCTCAACAACCTTGATTTCAGTCTACACCTACATAATGAAACCCCAATAAAAAATTCAGGACATGAAGCTCAAGGGAGCTTCCTGGCTGGTGATATACATCAACGTGCCAGGAGAGAAATGTGTGCTAGGGAAACAGAAGCTTCATGTTCAGGACCCTCCCTGACTTCTCCTCCTGAGTCTCTTCATTTGGCTGCTCCTAATCTGTATCTTTACAATAAAACTATAACTGTAGTACAGTACTTTCCTGAGCTTAGTGAGTCACTCTCATGAATTATTGAACCTAAAAGTAGTAGAAACCCTCAAATTTGTAGCCAGTTGGTCAGAGGTGTGGGTGCCTGGCAACCCTGGAGCTTGCAGCTGGTGCGTGAACTGAGGGGAGGCTTGTAGAGGGCTATGCCCTCGACCTATGAAATTTGCACTAACTCTCGGTAGTTAGTGCCAGAAATGCATTGCAGGAGGAGAGTAAGGATCCTATTGTACAATATAGAAACCATGGTAATGGGATCCCAGTTAAAAACAAAGTGATATCTTATGCAGAACTTTTGAACCAAGTGTACCAAAAACACCCATGCAAAAGTGGTCTCTTCTGGTTGGAGTTATCCATGTATTCCAGTCACTTCCATGTTACACGTGGAAAAAATTAAGTTGTATAATTAGCTCAAGGTCAATCATCCTATTACTATAAGTTGGGAAAAAATATAGAGACTTTGCCTATGACTCAGGTACTTTAGCCAATGTGAATGATGTTTCTTGCTTTATGCTATTATCAACTTAATTTACAAAAAAAAAAAAAAAACCACTGAAAATTTGTACTTTCAGAGATATGCGTTTTGTATTTTGGTGGGGAGAAAATCAAAATAATTACCTGCAATTCATCTCCTCCTGCTGGTGGCAGTAGTAAAATAAACATGTCAACCATGTCAGCAACAGCAAACTCTGATTGACCCACACCTGAAATTATAATCACAACTGTACACTAAAATATTCACAGTTATTAGACTTTCTCAACAACATTGTCATTCCCATTCCACTCCACTCACTCATACTTGTGGTCACTCACTCAAGCTGGTCACCCCTTTAAACTTCCCACCACTGAAGAATTGATTAAACGTCTCTGTCTTATCCCGAGAAAACCAGTTATCCTTCCCAGCTCTCTCCCATCCTTATTCCCATTATATCTGTTCCTTGACTGAATGGAGAACTTTAGAGACCTCCCTTCTCTCCTCTCTCTCAGCTCTTTCTTGGCAGCCTGAACACTGTGACTCCAACCTTAAACCATGCCTGCCAATACTTTCATTTTTTTTTTGCCTTCTCATCCTTTTACTCAGTCTGTGAACCCCCAATCAGGGATCAATCCAACAATGTGTGCTCTTTCCTCTATAAGCATGTGGGAGAAATCATTCAGCTATATGGACAGGCACCACTATAGGGTCATGGTCTCCAGCACCTGCACATCTTCCCCACTGCATGGTAAAAGCAATCTCCATAAATGCTCTCAGCTTCCTTTCCCATTTCTCACAGCAGCTATTACAAACATTCACTTCCCATAATCTCCCCACGTGAAGATGACCACGACACCTACTTCACAGAGGAAATAAAGGCAAGAACTTCTTCAGCTTCTCCCTCTCCCCCTCCACAGATAGACAGACACAAATACAAACTCAGCCTTACCACCTCCACTGCAGTATCAGTGTAAGTACTGGCTGAAGACGAGCCTCTCTCTTCCCCACTTCTGCTGAGCCCTCGCTCTGCTGTATCTTTAACCTCCCCGTTGTCTACGGGCTCTTGTCCCTCAGCACACCATGCAAATTGTGCTCAAGTCTTTCTTGTATTAAAACCAAACAAAACAAGACAAAAACTCACAAACTTCTCCAATTCTCACTGTATTTCTCACTTTCTCTTTATAGTCAAGTTTCTAGAAGAAAGTAATTTACATTCACTGTCTCCACTTCACCACTTCACATTAATCTCAACCCACTTAGATCTGGCTTCTACACCCCCTGCTCCCCTAAAACTTCTCTGGAAACTCTCTGCTTCCTTGATGTGGTAGAGACTTCTAGTTGCCTATTCAATATCTATTCTTCCCTACTTCCTTACCGCACTGTTACTAGGAGCATCAATGTACCAGGTGAAAGACCACATTCAGGAGGTCCCCTTTCAGCTACAGATTGTTAATGAGGGAAAGCAAAAGTCATTAGATGAGGTTTCCAGGAAAGTTCTTTAAAGAAAGCTAACCCATTTAGGAGGTATACCTCTTCCACCTACCCCTCCCAGCTTCCTCACTCCCCCTTCTTCCCTCCTCCTACCTGGAATATGATTGTGATGGAGCTTCTTATGCCACCTTTTAACTATGAGCAACCTTGAGGATGGTAAGTAAGTGTAAAGAATGGTGAAGCTACAGAAGAAGGCTGTGACACTAAGGACACTGCAGAAGCACCACACCTGCTCTGGACTTCCTGCCTCTGGGCTTCTTTTGTTTACAAGAAAATAACCTCTTTCTTGTTTGAGTCACTGTTAGCTCAAGTCTCTGGCACAAGAAAATAAATACAATTTCTGGGTAATACTCTTGGTTTTTATGGTACCCTTCTCCTTTGATTCTCCTCCTACCACTCAGGCAATTCTTCCTCCATCCACCCTTACATGGTGGAGTTCCTAAAGCCCAGTCTTGGCTATTGTTATGGACTGAATTCCACCCCCATCCCCCCCAATCCCACATTGAAGCCCTAACCCTCAACGTGACTATATTTGGAGACAGGGTCTTTAAAGAAGTAATTGAAGTTAAATGAGGTAATAAGGGTGTGGGCCTAATCCAACAGGACTGGAGAGAGGAAGAGATGCAGGGGAGCAGGCGTACACGGAAAAGGCAACACAAGGACCCAGCACAAGGAAGGCCGTCTGCAAGCCAGGGAGAGAGGCGTCAGCAGAAACCAACACCTCAATCCTGAACTTCCAGCCTCCAGAACTGTGAGAAAATAGATTTCTGTTGCATAAGCCACCCAGTCTATGGTATTCTGTTAGGGCAGCCCTAGTGGACTAACACAGCTATCTTCCATTTTTGCCCCATATTTTCCCCAGTTGATATGAACCAAATTCATAACTTGAAGTGTGAAACTATGAACTATGCTGATAACTGTTAAGTCTATATTTCTCATTCTTTTCTCTTAAAACACTTGGATACTTAATAAGCACCTCACACTTAATATATTGAACTCATTATTTTCCCCTCTCCAAAGCCACCTTTCTCACAGTATTCCTATTATCTTCTATACCTCTTCCTTCCTTACTTCTTATTCCTAATCATGGATGAAGTCCTGCCAATTTACCCTCCATGTTTAAATGGTAAGCTCTTTGAGGGTAGGGATCAAAGCCTATAAACTCATATCTTCTATGAAGTCTGGGATAATATATTGTATTTAATTATGCTGTTATCAAGTATCTGCTGAATGAACAAAATTAAATTAGTTGCCACTCATCTTTATACAGCATTCATAATAATATTTTTATGAAATAGAATATCATACTCACCTACAGTTTCAATAAGAATGATGTCATATCCTCCTCCTTCACACAACAGAATAGCCTCATTTGTGGTCCTTGTCACACCTCCTAAAGTTCCTCTAGTAGGAGACGGCCTGATGTATGCATTCATGTCTCTCGATAATTCAGTCATTCGGGTTTTATCACCCAAGAGCGATCCTAAAACACAAAATCACATTTCATAATGCGGAACAGTTGTAAGGGACAATTTTCAAAGAGACGGTTCCTAGGGGGAGTGCTGTATGCCATTTCTCCCAAAGTCTCAAATTGTATTTCATATTATTGAGCTTTCCTCCAATTTGTTGTATACAATGATGCCAGATTAATCTTTTTAACATTTCAAGCCCCTCAAAACCTATGATGGCTTCTCACTGATCAGAGGTGCAAATCTAGATCCTACAGCCGAGCACTGAAGGCCCTCAGAACCCGGCCTACCTTACTTGTTCAATTTCATCTCCCACTAGTCCCCAAACCAACCCTCCATTCTAGCCAGGGTGTTTAACATCGTTGTGTCTACATCCTACTCTCCTTTGTGTGCATTCTCACGCCAGAGGCATATTCTCTGTTTTCTCGCTGCTAATTTAAATGTGTCAGGCCCAGGGTCTAGGTCCTGGCTCCACCATTTCTTGCTGTTCAATTTTGGGAGATCACTTTATCATCCTGAACCCCTCTTTCTTCAGCTACATTACAAGGGTGATAAGCCACTGGGAGAATCAACTGTAATTAAATACTGGAATGTGCTTCGAAAACTGTTAATAACAAGAACACAGAACTTATCTACCTTACAAAGATCAGTTTAAGTCCTTGCTCCTTCATACAGTCTTTCTGGAACTTTTTCACCCCATGCCCATCTCTGTGAATTTCTATAGTACAACTGCTCTGCAGTTTGTGCCAGCATCCTGGAGGGCATAAGAGAACTTCAGTGTCCCACCCCTCCCTCTTATCTCCATAAGCACCCTCCACTCCCCATTCTTTTATTTGTATAGATGACATTTTCTCAACCTTATGTAAATGACATGCAAATGCATCTTCAAGCTGCCCTTTCCACTCCATCTGTTGCTTCTAAGCCCTTACTACTCAGAAGTTGTGGAGCCCTCACTGAATGCAATGGAAACCAATTGAATAAACGGAAAACTATTGATACAACATATTTTTTGTTTTCATATCTATATGTCTTATTTCCTTCACACAGCAGTTCTCAACTGTCCTTCCCACCTATATGAAAATGAGGGCCACTTATGAAAAACTCCTTCATTAAAATACTTACCTTTAACAAAGTTCTTAGACTGTAAATAAATTAGACAACACATTAGCATGGATTTAATCTTGGACCTGTGAGTATAAATTTCATTTTACAGTTAACCATTTTAATATACTGAATCAAAAACTTTGAATGTTCTGAGCTAATTTTCTCTATGAGTGGCACAAGAATTGCTGTCCACGTCTCTATTGACCTAAGTCCCCTGAAATATAATTATATCATCCTTCTTTACTTCTTAGCATTAAACCTACAGTACACCACACTATACAAACCAAACACCTCCACAAAGCACCCCATACTTACCCCTTCACTAGACATATCATATGGTAGTGGCTTATGCTTACCTGTTCGTTTCCCTCAGAAGATGTAAAATTCCATAAGGCCAAGAGGACTGTGTTTTACTCACCACTAAACAACACAGTACCTTCTATGCACAATGCCTCACCAATAGGAGGAATTCAAATTCTTGTTAAGGAAATAACTGTAATCTGAGAAGCTTAAATAATAGAGAGGAGTAAGGGAAGAAAAACATTTCCCATGTATTTATACGGTATGCTTTAAGATTTCTTTAAATGACCCTTTGGGGAACTAAGTTTATATTCATTTTACCTCTGATAAGCTGCAAATTAAACTTTGAGTGACTGAATGACCTCAAATCATTAAGTAATTGCTGAACATGGTACAATGTACAATGCTCTGTACTAAGTGTTGTAAGGGAAGAGCAGTACATTACAGGGTCCCCCTAAGAGCTTTCTGCTCATCTGATCATATAATATAAATAGGTGACAGGTTATAAACAGCAGTAAGATTTTTTTTTTAAAAAGCTTAAGAAGTGTTATAACAATATGAGGAAAATAATGAATAAGGGCCCATTTTCCAACTGTGCAGCTGCTGATCCAGCCAGAAAAAACAACCAGAACGATGAGGGGCCTAGCCCTAGGTATGACAGCCAAAGGGCTGAAACTTGCTATTGGTCATCTTCAACTTGTGGCACCTGTTATTCCAGTTCTCTAAGTACCCACAGCTGACCTCCTCTGTAGAGTCCAATGCTCCCAAACTACCTCCCTCAGGTTCCACCTCACTCTGCAGTTCCTTCAGTGAGATCGAACTCAGCTAGCTGTTAGAAGTCACCTAACTGTGAAAATTCCCACTAAACTGTAACAGAGAACCCCCACAAGCCCTGCAGTTTAGAGATAATCAGCCATACTCACCACCACTAGTACAAGAAGAAGGGTCCACAGCTAGCACAGCTAATTTGTGTCCTCTCTCAGTAAGCATTTTTCCAAAATATTCTATAAATGTTGATTTTCCAGCACCAGGGGGGCCAGACAATCCTATGGTGGAAAGAGATTTAATTTAACGAAACAAATGATATTACCACAATGATCACTTTTATTGAATAAAATATCAAACTATCTTCTATTTCCCCTAACTTATTAAAATCACCAGTTTATTTTAACAGGTCCTAAAGCAGTAAATGAAGGTCCATTTCTTTATCTAATTCCTGAGTAATAGGTATATAGGAAAGAAACAATTCTGAGTTCCATATGTTCACAAAATCCACTTTTAAAAAGTACAAAACATGCTTTGCCTTTGTACTATAACGTACATCTTTATGGACAGATTTCATTGCCTATGTTGTTAATGTGCTCAATTTCTACATCTGCTCATCTCTCGTCATAATCAGTAATTATTCCACCTACCTCAATTCTGTATTTGTCTTCCCATTGGAAAAACAACTCATTACTCTAGAAATTCCCAGTGATTGAGAAAGTAATTTTCTATTTATAAAGAATCTTTTTTTCTTCATCTCACTCATAACTCAAAGAATATAATATAAACTGAATCCTGAAAAAATAATTTGTGTTAAGAAAGGCAGAAAACTCCCCTACTTGGAGAGTCAGAGCATGGCAGGTAAGAGCACACACAAACCCTGGAGCTGGTAGGTCAGTTCTCGTTCTAGCTCTGCATCTTATGAGCTGTGAGGTCCTGGGCAGTTACCCTCCTTCTGTGCCTCAGTATCCTCCACAATAAAATAGATACGGTAATAACACCTCTATCTTTTGGTTGTTTTAAGAATTAGGCGAGTTAGTGTTTGCAAGATGTTTAGAACAGGGTGTAGAATATAGCGCATGGCATAAGAGATATATAAATGTATGTTTAATACAGTATAAGACATAGGCATTTAATTGTTAACTATATTCAAAAGTAAATATGGTACATGGTATGCTTGACTCCATTCCACAATTCTCAGGGCAGCCTCCTATCTTAAACACCTTTATAGATGCTGAATACACATTTGTTGCTTTCATTTATAATGGTGATAAAATAATTGCAACAAAGATAGAGGTTTATCTGGCCTCCTAAGATCAGGATGGAAGAACCAGAATAGCATCGCAAAATTATATATGAATTGCCGGTTAACTCCAGACATTTCTGGGACATTTTCTCTTTAAAGAGTCTCTAAAACACTTCATCATAACTAGAATTTCTCTTTGGGAGTTTGCTATTTTCTCTGCCCACAATACATAAAGATTATTAACATCCAATGTAGTACTCTCAAATGAGATTCCCTCAGTGAGTGCAGAAGAATAAGGAGTGTGAAAAACGTGGACCAGTACAAGGAATGGTTGGTGAGCTATTTTTGAAATTTTTGTAAAGGATCTCTACCCTTTACCGTAAAAACTAGGTTTTAATCCTTATATTGCCAACAAACTATGATTTAACAGTCTAATGGAATGTCAATTTTTAAATGTATTTACTCATTCCCCACAACATTTCTGCATTTTGACCCTATTTCAAGTTGTTTTTAGTAGAAGGGTTGGCTTAAATCACCTCGTTTACCGTTACAGGATACTTTCTCATTCCACCCAAACTGCCTTGCTTAATTCATGCTGGTCAAATATATCTAAAATGTTTTAAAATGCACAATTGCAAAAATACAACAAGGTGATTTACAATTACAGAACCAAGTCAAACTGTTCAAAAAAGAAAGTGAACATCTAATATACAGATGGCAAAAGAATATGGTCTCTCCTATAAAATACATTTTGGTACTGACTTGGCTGGGTTTGAAGCCACTCCAGAAACTCAACAAACAGTATCTGAAAGTAGCGAGACTTGCTTGTAGAAATACTAATGAAATACCCAAGAAGTACAACTTGGAAATGTTATAAGGATAATTATAGTTGATATAATCACAAAAACAGAGAATTCACTTTAGACTCTTAAGTAGAGGGATTACCGAAAGGAGTAAACTGGTTAACAGTTCTTCCTAAGCGTATTTCTATTCTGGGAGCCAGAGCAAAATTCTTGCTAAAACAGAACTCATATTATTCCCTTAAAATACAGAGCCTTGGTTTAAATGTCATGGCAATTTTCTCAATATAACAAGGCTAATATTTGCAAGGAAAAGGTATTTAAAATTCAACATCTACCCAAAGGGAATCATTGTGCAGTATATGCATGTATTCAAACAACTCACTGTACCCCACAAATATTTACAAATAAATGTTAAAAAATAAAAATTAAATTCATCAAAAAATCCTGAAAAAAATCCCCATTAGATTGCAAACTATTTAGACTTATTTTAAAAGAAGACAGAGAATTTAGAAAAATATTTACTGAACAACAAAAAAAATACTGACCCACTCGAAATGCTAGTGGTTTTCCTTCATTTAATTGTTCCTGTTCTTTGTGGTGAACTAATACTTTCTGAAGAAGCACCTGAGCTAACTCCTTTTTCCTGTTGTGAGTTGATTCTACAAGAGTTATGGCCTCTGCTAAGCAAGCCCTTTGCCCTTGGATTAAACCAGTATAAAGTTTATCCACAAATCTTTGTTCCTTATCTGAAAGTCCTTCTGTGTGGTCCTTTAAGGCTGTTTGTACACATAATTTTCTCTTTAAACCATTTGACAGCAGCATCCACTTTGTACAATAGAGTCCAAGAGAATTAAATGGCTGAGCACTTGAGATTCCTGATCCGAGATGAATACTTGGGTGAAAGATGAAGTGGTAATGTCGGAAAGTTGTTCTTAAAAGGCCTTTCAGAAAAAGCTGGTGAGGATGAGGATGTGACAGCAACATGAGAATATTCATTTTGTTTGTAGCTGAAGAAAACATTAGACGCATTTGAGCTCAATGTGATTTGTGACCTCCCTAGAAGAAAGAAAAACACATTTTTGCCAGTTCAATATATAACTAAGATACTGAAGTAGCAAAGTTGAAAGCATAATGTTTTCCCCATATTCTAAAACACACATAGTCAGGGTTCCTGTAGTACAAACAGGTGAAAGTTTTCTTACTAATTGAAAAGATCCCCGCCTTGGCCACATTAACATTCAGTGTAACCCAACTTGGAACTCTATTGTGAAATGGAATTTACATCAAAAATTTTTTCTAAACAAAAACCAAATATGCAAAACCCTTTTAGGGTAGAAATCTTATGTGATGCTTTTTCTTACATTCATTTTAATTTCTTCAGCTTAATACACCCGGTTCTGAAACACATAGAAAAGTTTAAAAAAAGAGCTCCTTCTGATGCTGGCCATTTATTCGTTTGCTACAAAATAAATGTGAGCAGTTGTATGGGCGCTTGAGGTGTTAGTTTAGACATGAGTATGTACTAAATAGACTTACCCTGGAACACAGATATATGCAAAGAATAGCTCAGCTTAAGCACACAAACAACAAGCCTTAATGGGAAGTGAACTGTGAGGGATGTGTAGTAACTAGATCAGTGTATCTCAAAGTATGGTCAGAACGGCCTGGGCTTATTAAAAATGCATATTCCCAGCCCCATTAATCAGAATCTCTGTAGGTAAGCACACTAAAGTTTGAACCACTACAGAGCTAGATAAGAATTCTTTACTTGATTTATTGATACTCTCTACTTCAAACTGTATTAGATAATGCAAGCTGACATAAATACTGAGTCCAGACAGTGCAGAGGTTATCAGCCATGGCCACTATGAGTTTCTGCCACTTAAGCTACAATGACTTTGGTCAAGTTACTTAACCACTCTGTGCCTCAGCTTCTTCCTGAACAAAGAGAACAGGTAAGAGAGTAGGATGGTTGTGGGAATGAAATGACTCAATGCATGTAAAAAGCTCGGAACAATGCTTAGCACAGAGTAAGAGCTCAATTAACATTAGCTTTTATTATTAGTAGTATTCTAATTTATAAAACATTGGTAATAATTAGGTCACAGACCTAACTTCCAGTGGCAAGCTAAAATTTACAGATTCATATAACCTACCTAGCTTGGATTTATGATTATTTGTAAATTTTGGTTTTCAAGTACCTCATAGCACAATGAAATTAATTACTTTATTGACGCAAGGTACCTCTCTAAATGATATTTCCAGGCCAATGAACATGAAAGTAATTTTAACTAATTAACATTCTATTAGGGAAAAAGAAGAAATAGTTTAGGGTTTTTTTAATTGGTAGAACCATAACTGCTAATCAGTTTTCCAAAGATGACAATCTTTTCTATTTTCAGAGGCATTATAACTTCTATTTATACAAAATTAGTCTTAATCTAAGAAGACAATTTATTATAAATGTATAAAAGTTTTCCCTAAACTACTTAAAAACATCTACTACTACCCTTCACACAGACATACAAAAAGACATTTAAAACAAATTTAAGAGGGGAATCTGTATTGAAAGCTCTCTTTCAATACCACCTTTAAGCATACTTCTCATCAATACCACCACTGCCAACACTAGACTGGGAATCACATAGGCAAGAACCATATTTTTATTCAACCACTACTTTCTGAGCACTTATTACTTTTCGGGTCCCATGATGGGTGATGATAATAATAGTGATGATATTAATGGCACCAATGGTGATGACAACTGTATTTGATTATGTTCTACACATTGTACCATCACCTTCTATATTAGTTCCCTTTGTTCCCCAGGGCTGCTGTAACAAATTATCATAATTACCATAACAGAATTAGCCACTTTAATTACATTGCAAAGACTCTTTTAACAAAGAGAGTCACAATTACAGGTTCCAGGGATTGTGATATGAACATATCTTTCTGGAGGCCACCATTCAACCACTACACCTTAAGTGGAATGCCTCATCTTATCTTAAATACCATAATCCTAGCACTTCAAGAGCTCACAGAATAAAATACACCATGTCCAAAGAAAGAACAAAGTACTGTGGAAACAGACAAGATTACAGGAGTTAACTAACACCCCTTGGGGAGTTCAAGTCATGGGGCAGTCAATATCAGGGCTGAGTCTGAAAAAATGAAAAAGTTGAAGAAGGATGAGGCAGGTTTTCTAGACTGAGGAATTAAATGTGCAAAATCAGCGTTAGGACTTGGTCTCTTCCCTGTCAGAGAAAACGGAGAAATTCAGTGAGGCAGAAACCTGGGGTATATGGAACTAGAGACAGGAGATGAGCCTGGAACAGGATGTTACTGGAAGCCAAGAAGCTAAATTTTGTCTTGTTAGCAGTGGACAAACCACAGAGAACTTTATAAAAAAGTGACATGGTAAATTTTGCTTTTTAGGAAATAACTCTAGGAGTAGTGGCGAGAAGTCAAGAGTGATGAGACCCTGGTAACACAGAGCCCAATTTAGGAAACCCTAACAAGGAACCAAAGAAAATGATGAGGACCTGAACTTAGGCAAGGCATTAAGGAATGAAGCCAGGCTTGAGACCTTCTTGTCCATGGTATAGCTAAAAGAGAAGTAAATATTACTAACTCTGCCCACCTTCCAAAGTATGAAGAATTTTCAGTTGCAGTGATGATGGTGGTATTAGAAGGACCCAAAGAATAGAGAAAGAGGAACTGTTGCGGGGATACAGAACATTCTTATTACCAAATCTAGTCCTATTGTCCCATAGGGGAGATGCTGTCATAAGTAATATAAAAGCAAATTAGAACTATTTAAAAAATTCTCTTTCATTAACAAGTCTTGCCATGACTACCTCTTGTTATCAAACTGGCTATGTTCAGAAAAGAGCAAAGTAATATATTGAGGGGGAAAAAACAAAGCATTCATTCAAAATAAAGCATTCATTCAACACACATTTGAGCATTTACTATATGCCATGCACTAGTCTAGCACTGTGGATATAACAATGATCAAAACAAAAATTCTTGCCCTATGAAGCTTACATTCTAGTACCAGAAGAGAGCTGTCCGTCTGTCTGTCTATAAGGTGGTCCCTGTGGCTGGACCTGAATGAGCAAGAGGGAAAAGGTAAGAGAAAAGGTAAAAGAAAGGGTCAAATATAGAGCCTTACAGATGACTAGAAGGACTGACTTTGAGTGAGATGGGAAGACATGGGACACTGAAGAACTCTTTCTGACTTACATTTGTTTTGTTTCTGTTTTGGTGGCTAGCCAGTATGGGGATCCAAACCCTTGACCTTGGTGATATCAACACTGCTGTCTAACCAATAGGCAGATTTTATCACAATTTGGGATTGTGAAGTTCTCTGCCTTTGATGCCAATACAAATTTTAAAAAGCAGGAATCAGGTAAAGGATGATCCCACTTTACTCCATTTTTTTTGGCTAAAACCACAAAGTTATCCTAGTGTGTATAATTCTAGGTTTTGACACCTTCAAACCTCTCCCTGGGGGCTAATTTTCTTAGTGCCCCCCAGCCCTCTGAACCATCTGAATAGCAGAGTAGCAGCTGCTATCTTTTACTGAGTGTTTATTATGTGTGAGCTACTGTACATGCATTTCCTCAGCTGATCCTCACAACAATTCTACAGTAGATGATATGAATATGCTATGTTACATTTGAGTTTCAGCAACATTAGGTCAATTGACCAAGGTTTCAGAACTAGCGGCAGGACTTGGGAAAAGAATAGATTTCATAAATCCCAATCTATATGCTGTCAACTCTATGGAAAATAAAACAATCCTTTACATTTGAATACGGCATGATTACAGCCAAAGTGAAAAATTAATTTACATTTTCTACACAAATCTTATCAGTAGGACATTTCAATATCTTGTTAGGTGTCAGAACAGACCAAATTTCAAACATTTTTAAATGGTTTTCACACTACAAAGAATAATTCGCACCTGATAACTAAGTTCACAACATACTTAACTCCATTAATTTATCCAATCAACCAGATTTCAAAGGAGGCCATAAATTTTTAAAAAGCCAATATAACTCAGCCTTGCATGAGCAAGTTTCTATCCTTATGTACATGTCATCGGCAGAAAAGACTGAGTCCACTATAATGGCAAAATCATTTAGATAGCGAGAAGGACTCCCCATCTGCTCATGTAACTAAGAATACTTTACTGCTTTCTTAGGGAAAGAAATCAAAGAACTTGGCCAACAGTCAAATCAAACTGTTTCAACTAATTTTCATAATTCTTGAGAGCATGGTTTCATTCTATAATTTGTAAGCTAAGCACTACCAAAATACAAGAGAAATCCTGCAGCATTTACAACATTCAGTAAGTTACCTCAAAGCATTGCCATACCTAATAAACCAGAATGTCAATTTATTACCATATAATAAAAAACATCAAGTGGGCAAAAATAATGAAATAGGTTGGTAAGTGCATCCCTTCCCTGCAAGAAGGTTCACACGGACAGTAACATTTTAAGACTCACATTTGTTTTCCTGAAAAATATCTTTTATATACATTCCTTCCTCTCCACCCTCACTCCCAGTTGTCTCTACTACAACAAGTTTCAAGCTTTGATTGCAGTCCATAAGAAATATACTTGTATCAGTCAACACACACACACACACATATACTTCTATAACTGAAACAAGTTTCCAATACTTAGCCCTATTACATGTGATACACACTATTATTGTCTTTTCTATCTTTTTAAATGCAGATTGCAACCCACCTATGGGTTGAATCTTAAATCCAAAAAATCCCAATCTATTATAGCCACCTCTGTGTATGACCATTACTAGTTGATCTTCCATACTACCACTTATCCTCACGATCATATTACTCCTCTGCTTAAAACACAAGGTTCCCTCAGCCTTATCTATTGGGGAAAAAAATGGTTTTCTCTGATTCAGGCATTCATTGATTCAGCAAATATTTATTGAGAACCTACTACATGCTAGGCACTGTGCTAGGCCTTTGAATATACTAATAATGTACATGGGTTAGA